AAAAAAACAAAAATAACAAAAATATTATTTCACAAAATCTAAATAACACAAAAAAATAATGACTGGTAAGTTTACCTCACAAAGTTATCTTAACTTCTGTTCAAGTTGCAAGGTTCATATTCTATATAGTTGGGTGAAAAACGATAGAAAATGTTACAAAATGAAAAAAAATATGTAAAATTAAAAAATGAAAATAAGAAAAAAATGGTATTACATAATAAAAGAAACCCAAAAAAACGAGGGGCTGATTAAATCACCTCACTATGTCATTGTAAAATTGTGTTCAAGTTCAGACGTTTATGTATATAGTTGTGTTAAAAAAATAAAAATAACAAAAATATTATTTCACAAAATCTAAATAAGACAAAAAAAATATTGGCTGGTAAGTTTACTTCACAAGGTCATCTTAAGTTCTGTTCAAGTTACAAGGTTCATATTCTATATAGTTGGGTTAGAAACGATAAAAAATGTTCGAAAATGAAAAAAAAATGTGAAATTAAAAAATGAAAATAAGAAAAAAAATGGTATTACGTAATAAAAAAAAACAAACAAAAAAAACGAGGGGCTGATTAAATCACCTCACTATGTCATTGTAAAATTGTGTTCAAGTTCAGACGTTTATGTATATAGTTGTGTTAAAAAAATAAAAATAACAAAAATATTATTTCACAAAATCTAAATAAGACAAAAAAAATATTGGCTGGTAAGTTTACTTCACAAGGTCATCTTAAGTTCTGTTCAAGTTACAAGGTTCATATTCTATATAGTTGGGTTAGAAACGATAAAAAATGTTCGAAAATGAAAAAAAAATGTGAAATTAAAAAATGAAAATAAGAAAAAAAATGGTATTACGTAATAAAAAAAAACAAACAAAAAAAACGAGGGGCTGATTAAATCACCTCACTATGTCATTGTAAAATTGTGTTCAAGTTCAGACGTTTATGTATATAGTTGTGTTAAAAAAATAAAAATAACAAAAATATTATTTCACCAAATCTAAATAAGACAAAAAAAAAAAATGGCTGGTAAGTTTACCTCACAAGGTCATCTTAAGTTCTGTTCAAGTTGCAAGGTTCATATTCTATATAGTTGGGTTAAAAACGATAAAAAATGTAACAAAATGAAAAAAAAAGATCAAATGGCTGGTAAACTGACATCGCTAAGTCATCTCAAGTTCTGTTTCCGAAGTTGCAAGGTTTCTATTGTTTAAAGATACGTTATCGTCTTACTCGCTCTTCAAGTATGAAAATCAAAACGAATTAATATGTGTATACAGTTGAGTTCAAATAATGAAAATAAAAAAGTGTTATTTCACAAAATTAAAATAAGACAAAAAAGGCTGGTAAATTTACCTCACAAAGTTCAACATTCACATTGTATACACTTAGTCTATAGTTCCCTTCATTCAAGAAACTTCAAAAGAAAAAAATGTGTTATATTACAAAATGAAAAATTTTACTAAGTCATATCAACTTGTGTTCACGTTCCAACGTTTATATTATTCAAAATAAGTTATCGTCTTACTTCATCTCGATGGATGAAAATGATAACAAATTCATATATGTATATAGCTGGGTTAAATAATAAAAATAACAAAAATATTATTTCACAAAATGTAAATGAGACAAAAAAATAATCCCTGGTAATGGTAACTTTAGCTCACAAGTTGTAAGGTTCATATTCTATATAGTTGTGTTAAAAACAAAAAAATTGTTATGTTACAAAATGAAAAAAAAAATCGAATGGCTGGTAAACTTACTTTGGTAAGCCATGTCAAATTCTATTCAAATTGCACGTTTTACATTGCTGAAAACGGCATCAAAACTGTAAGACTGCTCTGCCATGATAAAAAATTTTCTACAGATAAATTATGAAAATGACATGATGAAAAGCAAATCTATACCAGTTCACAAATACAAATCTTACGCGTGCACGGTCACAAGCAACAACCTCAACCACTTCAAATTACTATATCAACTATGCCTGTAGTCTGGACAATAGAAAGGGCAAACACTTTTTGGGATAGGCGCAATTGCAACCTTGTTTTAAAGGAAAACAACTTGTTGCAAAAAAAAGCTCAAATGCTCACCGACAGTGAAGAAAGAGCAACTTCGTTAGAGGCGGAATTTCAAAAATTTGTAAGCGAAAATCAACATAAATTTACACCTGCTACACTGCAGTCTACAAAGCATGAAAAAACTGTTTCCAATCTTAAATTTTGGATAGAATTCTCTTCCTGGACATTTTGTAGTAAGTGCAGCTCTTTGCAGAGGGAAAAATTGTTGCCGCGACATGAAAAACGACCTGAAACAAAGTTTTCCAAAAAATGCCCTTGTATGTCAGATAGATACCTTGTACCAGATTTTTCTGTTATACCTGAATGTTTAAAATGCCTTACCTTTCCTGACATCTGTATCATACGCCCTTTTATATTACATCAAGGCGATTATGTGCGACTCCAGCATGGATATCAGCAAAAGAATGGAATAACTCGCGTTTCATGGAAGGAGAAAACGGTAAACCTTTGTATTGAACAATTACAAGATGAAACACAAAAGCAAAGGTGCGCCAGTGCTTATGCATTTTTGATCGCATGTACGGAAAGCTCATATCGCCATTTTCTCGAATTGCACACGCGTCATTTAGGCGAAAATAATAAACAAGTGAATATATATATGCTGGCAGAATGCAGAGGAATAGAATGTGCTCTATGGCCACATCTGTATCCCTTTACGAGTTGGTGCGAAACTACTCTCACCGGTCAACAAAGTCGACTAAGTAGAAAGATAGGTTTTTTAACAAAAGTATTGTCGGGAATTGTTCACTACTCCCTCGAGTATGAACTCTTGCAGTTCCATTATGACCTCTGGATTTTTACAACAGTTAGTGGAGCATTATCATCAGGCCGCATAATGAGATGTTCCCCCGCTAGGGCTTTGAACGCAAAAACCTTTTCAACAGGTTATTGGAAAATGCAACACAGGTTGCTGCTTGACGCTGTGCATCAATTCGGTTACCCGTCCTTATTCATAACAATAAATCCATACGAGTGGACTTTTCCATTTCCAAAATGGCTGTCTAACATTCGTAACATGACTGGACGAGGTCCTACAGCTCTATCAGGATTCGAGACAATTCACATTGCTCACGTTCTTGAACAATTGGTCAGAGGTTACTTAACAGGTACAAATCAATCGTCCTGGAAGAAACACATTTTAAGTTATGGAAATAGATCTGCAATTTCTAACATTAACACGTATTATTACAGATTTGAGTTTCAACAAAGGGGAACTGTGCATCTACATCTTTTGGTATGGTTAAAAAACATCTC